CACTCTAAATTCATGTACAACTGAACAGGAGATACTGAGGATAGGAGAGCCTCAGGAGGAGGCTCTTACAGGTAACTCAGGCTGAGAGTAGACTGACTGGCACTTAGACCAGGTCTTTGCCAAAACAATAACTACTATCTCTGCCTCTTCTCAGGGCTTCCAGGGCAGCGGTTGAGGAGACCTTACCAAGGAGCACCACACAGTAGATGCTGAGACATCGTACTCCAGGATAAGAGACAGTAACATGGCAGCACCTGCTTGAAAGAAATTAAAAACCAACAGACTCCATTTAGAAAGGAACAATGTCCAAAAAAGGGCGAAATAAGGGCGAGAAGCCCGAGGCACTCATTGTTGCCCTTCAAGCTGCCAATGAAGACCTCAGGACCAAGCTTACAGACATTCAGATAGAGCTGCATCAAGAGAAGTCCAAGGTGAGCGAGGGCTACCTGAGGCCGTGGCCTTAAGAGCAGCTCTGACTGTCCACATGCAGGGAGCACAGCTCTGCCTGCTGGCCCACCCCAGTGGACTCCTGCCCTTTGCCAGAGAGGGCAACATCCCCTGTACACATGGAGAGGTTATTGCATGTGGCATGAGGGAACTGAGCACAGGACACACAGAAAGTGAGAATAGCATGCTCACTTGACAGATCTCAGCCTCCTCTGGAAGCCTGGTTCAGGAAGCCAGATATGAAAATTCAGACAGTGTCCCCCTACCACCGCCAAGCACTTAATAGTTGCATGACCCTGGGCAAGTTCCACTCTTGCCCTCCAAAGGTTATACCTCCCAGAGCATTCAAAGCAGTCCTTCTGAAATGTACCACATCATGTTACTCCACTGCCCAATACCTTCCACTGGCTTCCTATCTCTCTTAGAGTCAAAGAACTTTCTCTACCACTACAGGATATGCGCTCCGGCCCCCTCTTTGACTCATCTCCCACTTCTCTCTCTCTTGATCACTCTGTTTCCTATTTTTGCTGGATCAAGAGAGAGACCCCAATCACATTTAGGGCCTTTGCACTTGTTCTTCCTGGACAGCTCCATGCTCCTTCACTCACCTCCTTCAGATGTCCGCTCAACCATCAAGTGTCTGACCACAGTCTCTAACACAGAACACTTCCCCATCCTCAGGTACTCCCCATAGCCTATTCTTGGCTTATTTCATAGCAGTTTATACATTTGCTTTTTACTTGCTTAGTGCAGTCACTCCTCAATCTCTACAAAAGCAGGAATTCAGTTTACTTAGTGTCCCTAGAGCCTAAATAATCTCGAGAACTTAAAATCTCAATATGTATTTGTTGAATGAATAGAGGAATAATTTAAAGATGATGCATTTCTTAGACCTCAGTTTCTTCATCACATCACAGCTATATTGAGGTATGAATTAGACACGTATGTAATGTGTTTATGAGGATCGAACAAAAAAAATTTATGTCAAGTGCTCAGAGAGCTGCCTGACACATAATAAACTTGCAAAAAATTACAGCATTGGTGTTCTTTTTGCTATTCTCTAGATTTAAGTCAGTTGCTAACTAGACTTAGAAGTCTCTTTACTTCGCTCAATCCCATCGCCTAAATGGACAAGCAAACACACCAAGGTGGTGTGAATATCAGCTAGGGTCATGTCTAGGAAAGCATTTTGAGATCTCCAGCGTTCATAAGATGTTTTTGCTCCCTGCAAACCAGAGACCACAATGACTGCGTAAAGTTGCCTTATTTAGATAATTACAGAGTAAGAAAACATTCTTGATCAACAAGCAGTAGTCACAAGCCAACAAATATATGTATTCAATTTTTATCTACCTCTTCTTCCTTGACATCATTATTAAATTTTAATTTGTTATTTCTCCCCAAATCTATTTCTCCTCATTTTAACAATAATAAGTGTCCTTTGGATCTGCCAAAGCCTCTTGCCCCCTGCCTAAGCTAAACCTTGACCTTAGATAGAGTAATGTAATGTAAAATCTGTGAAGGAATTTTTTTAGTTTCCATGAAGCCAAAGGGAACATGATGTCATTTTAGAATAGCATTTGTTTGAGAGTCAGAAGATGTGGGGCATTATTTGTCTTTATCTCTCCTTGGAGATGAATTTAAATGTCTCAGTGTCTCTATCTGTAATTCAGATGACTGAATCTGCTTCTCCATATCTGGGCTTGTCAAGCATCACTGCACAATGGTATAACCTGGGGGACCTGATTAAATATTAAGATTCCTGAGCCCACAATCCAAGAATTCTGATAAAGTAGTCAGGTGAAAACCAGGACTTGTATTCGGTAAAGCAGCCCAGGCAATTCCGATGCACTACAGATGCAGACGACTTCCAGGCTTCGTGTTGACAAACACTCCGCTGTAAGATTCTATCCAGGTCTGACAATCTGTAAACATTTCATTGGCCCTAACTCTCCCTGCAGCAACATCACACTTCAAGGGAGGCAGACTCCTTTAATTGTAGTTACGACAGGATGACAATCTACATTCCTAGGAAGAAGCTTGTCAATCTCGTGACCGGGAACCCTAAACTGCTGCTGCTTTCCAGAGAACGAACTGATGAGATTCCCAGAAACAGAGACTCTGAGGACTTCAACACTGCCAATACACCACATATTCAAGCCTTTTAAAATGGGTAACTCTCAAGTTTGAACCAGGCTGCCTGTGTATCTTGGGCCTGGCACTGTTGTCTAAGCCCTCAGGCCAAGCATAATCTCCCCTTCCTCTGACAATTGACTGGCAGCCAGCCTCTTAAATGAGCGCACACAGCCTTGTCCTTTTCTCTGCTGGCTGCCCCTGGCTGGCTACTTTTCCTTGGCAGTTAATTACGGTCCCAGCCCAGGAGCTAAAGCAAAGTCTCATTGCCTGTCAGCATCCTTCCCCAGAGAGCAAAGGGAATGTAGAGGGCAAACAAGTCATAAAGCACTTTTATTATAAATAAATGTGATTGTGTTTTCAAAAGGGCCAGGTTTTAAGAGAGAGAATATGAACAATGCCTAGATGTGAATTTATACTCTCAGGTTGGCTCTGAGGCTCTGATGACAAAATGACAGTTCAGCTACTAGGGAATGGATAAGTTAAAAAGTGGAAACCTTTGGGGCAACGGGGCAGTATTCATTTATCCAGCAAGACAAATAATCCCACTGACATTTACAGAACAGCCATGGTGTATAGAGCCGAATCTTAAGACCTTTGGGCTGATAATATAAACAGCTACAACGTACTGAATGTTTACTATCTGTCATGGGCTGATAAGCGCATTTCATCCTGCCAGAGTCCCAGCTGCTTCACTAGCACCTGACTGGCCTGGAGAAGGTTATAAAACCCCTCTGTGTTCTTCATTTGTCAAATGGGACAATAATAGTATCTACCTTACAAGGGTGTATGTGTGAGTGTTCATTTTTGAGCAATTAGTTTGTGTCAAGCGTGTTAAGTGCTTTCATGCCATTATCTCATTTCATCCTCATTTCCACCTGCTGAGGTGGGCATTTTTATCCCTACTTTACAGATGAGGAAACTTCCTGGCCTATAGGAGGTGCTCAAAATTACTTGTTGAATGAATTTACATGATTTTTTTTTTTAACAGCTTTCCCCCAAACCCTGTGGCATAAGTACTGTTATAGTACTCACTTAGGTGAGAACTCGAGACTTGGGTAGAGAAAGGATTTCCAACCATGTTTGTCTGCTTCTTGGAGCAGCACCCTGAGCCACTAAGTTGCGGTATTTGCCCTGTTTGTCTCTTCTGTGGATACTATGAGTGCGTGATCCAATGGTTAGTGTGTATGAACATGCCAGGGGCTGCCCCCGGACTCTGTAACTCTCCCTCAGAGATAAACTATGGTTGCGTGAACAGCATAGGCACAGTGACAGAGGGAATGAATGGACAGGAGCAGGGAATAGGGTTCTCAGGGCAGAGGCAGCAGGGCAACAGGTCTGGGTTGCAAGGTTGAGAAGAATCAGCTCCAGACAGGAGCTGTCCCATTGGCACAGCCCTTCAGACTGCAAAGCATTTTCACACCAAGCCTCACAACCATCAGAGCAGGCCCGTGATAAAGACAGGGTGCAATTACTATTCTGCCTTCACTGAGGAAGAAAATGAGGTTCAAACTGTTTAACTCATTGAAGAAAATGAGGTTCAAACTGTTTAACTCATTTGCTCCCAGAGACACAGCTAGTGGAGGAGCCGCGATGGGAATTCCTGTCTTCTGTAAGATGGTGGGGGTCAAGGTAATGCTCACTCTCTGATTCCATTGCCCTCTATTGCCTCTAGGGCATTCTCAGAAAATCAGCCAACATTCTCTATCCTCGAGTGACTGTCCCCACAGCCTCCAGACACAGGTACCAAATTTGGGATGGGGTATATTTTCCTGTCTACTCCTTTAGTTCTGTTTTCAGGAAGCAAAAGCAGCTGAAAACAAGAAATTGTAAAGATAGAATCCTTTGCACTGAATTGTATAAGGTTGTATAGGATTTCCCTTGTAAGCAACCTTCCTAGAGCGACTCCTTCACATCTCCTCTCTGAGAGTTACTTTGTGCCCCTGACAATCGCTGCCAGTTTACTGTGTTCCTCCAGGAACATGCAATGCAGATAATCCAGGCCAAAGTGTATGTTAGCTTAGCTTGCCTTGATAACCTCTCAACCTTTTCCTTACCTTTGACTGAGCTGTCCAATTTTTAATCCTAGATTTCTAAGATCACTTTTAAAGCTCAAATCATCACTATCTTTCTCTTGGCAGAATTTACATTGGCATTTTGCAAAGGCTAGACCAGAAGTAGGACAGAATAGAAAAATACAACATGAGATCTATGTAAGATAGTCATACATTCTTTTTTCTCTGTCATAGTGTAACCTTTCCTTGGTAGGATTAAACTTTCCTGATGACCTTTTTTTTCTCATAGAACCTCTAGGATAGAAGGGATTTGGAAGCCTATCATTCAGAGCCCTACCGAGCGCTCTCCCCTTCACCCTGCCCCATGCTGCACCACTCTTTATCACTCTTTAGGCCCACATGCACCCCAAGTGTCTTCCACATCAAGATTAGATGCTGCCAATGCCAGAGAACACAATACATCCTGAAGAAACTCAGTTTTATCTTTGAACATCTCTTTCTGTTGGAAAAACAGTTACCATCTTAATAATGTAATATAGTAATGTTAGTCTTATCAAGATGATATGGAGACTTTTATATTTATGTTGCTGGTATTACTATAATAGTGTATAATATAATATTACTATATACACAATATTTATTAAAATTAATATTGTAATATCCACCATGTATTAATAGTTATTAATCTCTTATGTGTCCCAGCTTTTCCACAGGGCTTTTGATCCATTGCCTATGTCAATCATCACAATAGCCATATGAGAATGATATCGACAACCCCAGTTTACAGATGAGAAAATTGAGGCTGACAGAGGTGAAGCAAGGTTTCAGGTACGGACACAAGGTGTCCAAGGCTTCAGAGCAAACGGAGGTGTAGGATCTGACCTGGAGCCAGCTCCTGGCCCGCAATGTATTTTAGTGAGTCTTCTTTACATTATTCTTATGTAAAGACTGTTTCTCACTTTCTCATCACCAATTGTGATGAAACAAAGACTTCCTACATCACAGAGCTGCCCAGGAGGTTAAATGTACTGATGTGTGTAAAGCCTATTTAGAAAGGTGCCTAACTCACATTAAACCCTCAATAAATGCTAACTATTATATGGTTGAGCTGAAATTTTTCTCCGTAAAACATATCCATGTGTCAAAATTGGTTTCTTTCTTCTACTAAATAATTTTCTTCATTTCAAAGTATTATCATCTTTATAATTTCATTGTTACTCAGGAATGGTTCATCATTTTGTATATTCATTTTAAGAATTATATTACGATATTTAAATCTATATCCTTAGAGGTACCATCTGCACTGCAAATAATTTTCAGAAAGTTTTTATTGGCTTTCTTACCCCAAAATTTCAATCACATTGTTTGACTTTTCTTCAGAATAAAACACTTCTTCCAGACTTAAAAAGAAGCCATACCTAGAAATCCTGCCAAAAAAAAAAAAAATGTCAGTTTTCATGACAACCAAAATAAGTAAACATAAAAAAAAGTCAAATGTTACTCAATTCATTTGAATTTTCTTTAGTTTTCATGGATTATTTTAAGGAACAGACAGTATTTGTTTTTGTTTCTGTCTTCAGTCTGGAATCTATGTTTCATGCACCTGTATTTTCACTTTTTTAAAAACAATTTTCTTCATCTCCCCTTCAGACCTCATGCAAAAGCTTTGAGTTAATAATTTGGGGTAAATGACAGAATTACAGGAAGATACAATATGATGCCTCCAGAGAATTTGACATAAATAATTTTAGATCAAGGAGTATCTCCTACTATATCCAGTAATAATACTACCTTACACTTCATAGTACTTTACAGTTCAAGGTACTTTTCCATACACTATCTAGTTTAACCCTAAAAGTAACCCGGTTACAGACATTTTTAAGTGTAATCAAAAATCCTCAGAAGGATAAAGCAACTTTCTTAGTGATAGCAAATGGTGAAACAGGAATACAAACCCAGGATTTCTTACCCTTTGTCCATTTTTACTACAGTTTTTCACTGTTCTCAGAAGAATGGCTAAAAGTTTCCCTTGTTAACCACCAGCTGTTGCAGTCCTGATACGGTTCCAGATGCCGAGTGTAAATGCATCCTGCAGAAACTGAAGATGACTAAATTCCTATCACTTGAGCTAAAGTAACTTTCCCAAGGTCTTCTATGGAAGGCAAATTATCATAGTTTCTAAATCAGTAGAAAATAAGGCTTTTCCTTTCAAAAAATGCATTATCTAGAATAAGAATCAGCAAACTCTTTCTGTGAACAGCAAGATAGTGAATGTTTTAGGTGTTGTGGGCTAGACAATCTCTGTGAAACTACTCAACTCCATTGTAGCATGAAAGCAGCCTTAAGCAATGTGTAAATGAATGGCATGGCTGTGTCCCAATAAACTTTATTTATAAAAACAGGAGCAGGATGGATTTGACTCTTGGGTGGTAGTTTGCCCACCCCAATCTAGAAGATGCCCACTTCCGCTCTGGAAAGATGGAGAGTAAGATCTAGATCGTCCTTGTTGAAGCACCAAGAGAAGCACCTAGCAGAGAGAAGTGAATATTCTTATATGTTAGGGTTTTGTTTTGTTGTCATTTTATACTGGGAAGGGGTTGAGGAGGGGCTGATCTGGTAACCCTGCAAGTCTGTATTCTCTAAACTGTATGACAGAAAATATTATTCTTGCCTCTGGCTAGCGGCCTAGCCAGAGAGAAATAATGGCATACATCCTTTAATTCCACACATGCCACCTGGTTTCTTCTATTTTGTTCTGGGAGCCACTGGGTACACAATGATGAGGATGGCTCACTGGCAACCTTCTAAAAGTTAACAGCCTTGGGTAGGGGTAGAAGAGGAGGTGATGAGGACAGACAAGTGGGCAAAAAAAAAATGCAAAGAAAACTGTGAAAACCGCCAGTAAGGAGGTGTTTCAAAAGTATACTGAGAAGACAAAGGCAGGAAAAATGAGCTTTATCCTGGGTAAGTAGGGTGGCATGACAGGAGAGGATGACATCTAGCCAGGCCATGAGGAATGTAAGGATCCCAAAAGGAGCTGATGGAAGCATAAGTCAGGAAGAAGAAACTGTCAGCATATGGGAATGAGATGCAGGGCATGTGCAAAAAATAGTATAACCCCTCTCCTACCTACAGCACGGGACAGGTTAGGAGACGGAGAGGGAGAAGTAGGAGCTGGAAATCCAACCAAACCTTCCTGGGAGCCTGAAAGGTGAAGCTGAGCTGTTAGATTTTATTCCACAACACAAAAGAGCCTGGGTGGTTTTGAGCAGACACATAAGTAAGACCAGAACTGAGCTTTACTAAGAGAATATCACCAGTAGCGTGGGGAAAGCTAGGCTCACCAAATGAACGTCTAAGAACTCCAGAGCAATGCTGTCCAAGAAAAATATAATGTAAACCACAAATGCAAGCCATAGCTGTGATTTTAAAATTTCTTGTTAGCTGCAATTTTAAACAGTAAAAAGAAACAGAATCCGTTGTAATAATATCGTTTAGTATAATTTATCCAAAACATTATCGTTTCAATGTGTAATCAATATAAAAGTGATAAGTGAGATATTTTACATTCTTTACCTCACACTAAGTCTTCAAAATCCAGAGTATATTTTATATGGAGAGAAAATCTCAGTTCAAATTTGCAGTATGGTAACTAGCAGGTGCCACATAGGACAGCACAGGTCTAGAGCCTAAGAGAGAAGAGGCCTCCATGAAGGGACTATAGGTGTAAGCTGGAGGTGAGATCAGAGGATGGTTGTTTGAGGATGCCTGGCTGCTTAGTTCACCAAGTCCCCTTGTGCCCCAACCTCTTTTAGAATAACCATCATGGGAATAATTGCTGTGCCTTTAAAAATAAACTGTTCATAAAATACTATGCAAACTTAGAAAATACTGTTCTAGCCAAAGGTAGGTAAACTATTAAGGTGAGTAAAATCTCAGATACTGTATATTAGTCAGGGTTCTCCAGAGGGACAGAACGAATAGGATAGATGTATATATATAAAGGGAGGTTTATTAACGAGTATTGACTCACACGATCATAAGGTCCCACAATAGGCCATCTGCAAGCTGAGGAGCAAGGAAGCTAGTTCGAGTCCCAAAGCTGAAGAACTTGGAGTTCGATATTCAAGGGCAGGAAGCATCCAGGACAGGAGAAAGATGTAGGCTGAGAGGCTAAGCCAGTCTAGTCTTTTCATCTTCTTCTCCCTGCCTTTATTCTGGCTGCACTGGCAGCTGATTAGAATGTGCCCACCCAGACTGATGGTGGGTCTGCCTTTCCCAGTCCACTGACTCAAACATTAATCTCCTTTAGCAACATCCTCACAAACACACTCAGAAACAATACTTTTCATCTTTCAATCCAATCAAGTTGACACTCAGTATTAACCATCACAGACACTTTATATTACAATGTTTACAATATGGAGTCTCAATCTTAAGATTTTTCAACTGGAGAGGTTCTCAACTATTATTTTGTGAAACCCTCCAATTTTACAAATGGTGGAGACTCAATATCACTCAATTAGCTATTACTCCTGGGACTCCCCATTTTTCTTCCCTTTCTCTTTATTTTTATTTTTATTTATTTATTTGAGATGGAATCTCACTCTGTCTCCCAGGCTGGAGTGCAATGGTACAATCTTGGCTCATTGCAACCTCTGCCTCCTGGGTTCAAGCGACTCTTCTGCCTCAACCTTCCCAAGTATCTGGGACTACAGGTGCCTGCCACCACACCCAGCCAATTTTTGTATTTTTAGTGGAGACAGAGTTTCACCATGTTGGCAAGGCTAGTCTCGAACTCCTGACTTCAGGTAATCCACCTGCTTCAGCCTCCCAAAGTGCTGGGATTACAGATGTGAGTCACTGCGCCTGGCCCCCTTTTTCTAGATTACTCTGTGTATGTGTGTGTGTGCGTGCGGGGGTTGTGTGTATGACAGAGAGAGGAGACAGAGACAGAGACAAGCAGCAGAGATGAAGTGGGGGAGGAGGACAGCAGAACAGGATCACGGAGAGGCTTTTTCAAGACACAAATGTCTGGGCTCCACCCGATCTACTGAATCAGAGACTCACATCCAGATTAGATCAATAGGCACTGCCATTGCTAATCGACAAGGAGGCCTATATTATCCCCGGAAATTTAGCAAACCATGGAATAGTTTTAAACCAGAATTCCTGAGAGGTAAAAGGCTCATTCGAAATATTTCACCAAACTACTTGGAGTGTTGGCTTGCGGGGGCAGGAAGGGAGGAGGAGGAGTGAGAGTGAAAAGGGACTCAAAGAGACATTCATGGCGCATTCAGAAATAACAGTGATCACTAAAGTCCTTCATCAGAGAGAGGACCCAATGATCTGCAGTTTTGTTGTTGGTGGTGGTGTTTTGTGTGTGTGTGTGTGTGTGTGTGTGTGTGTGTGTGTGTGTAAAATTTGGGGATGAAACTAACCTGCCATACTAACAAAGGTAAGGTTGAGGCTATTATCAACTGTCTTCATTTTTCACCTCCTTAGCAGCAGCAGCAGCAGCAGCATCCCTTAAAAAAAAAAAAAAAAAAAGAGGGAGGGGGATGCTCAATAATATCACTTTAGGCACTAATTTATTAGGCTGATCACAATATCAAACTGTGAGCTATTCTAAGACACACATTTATCAGTTTGGATCTAGCTAGGGTTGTGTAGTCTAAAAAGTTCTCCAGGCGATCTGCATTGCAATCTTCCCCGTAAAGGGGAAAACCATGACAGCGATACTTCCTAATATTAATGTGTATACCAATCGCATGGGCATTTGTTAAAATGCGCATTCTGAGTCATAGATCTGGGGCTAAGCCAGGGATTCTGTGCTTCTAGCATGCTTTCTGGGTGATACCAAGGCTGCTTGTCTGCAGACCACACATTGCATAGTAAGGCCCCAGAACATCAAAT